GAGAGTTTTAATTTGATGGTGAACGACGGGGACGTTGTTCAATGGGGTTCGGGAATGTTGTCGGGGCAAATACCTTGACAAGTGTATTTGTCGGGGATTTTCAACGTCGAACGTTGTTCGACTCTTTCGTGGAGTTGAAGGGCTTGGTGAGACTAACGTTTGCCAAAAGTTTATTAAGACCTGACCATGACTGAGAGACTTAAACTTTTTTTAGAGCCTGACGTCGTTGACGTCTGATCAAAACAGTGTGAGTTGGGAGTATGGCATGTCGTCCACGGTTCCCGATAAGGCCGCAGGGGCATGCAATCGGTGGGAGAATTAGTCTGGACTTATACTATCTAAAGGAGTGTTGTGCGGCATAAGTCGTAGGTGCGCTGATTTTTTTATGCCGCGCCGTGTATACGGCAGCGGCACGCGTGTCGTGCCGCTAGACGGTCGCCATGCCAATGGCGGTGCGGCTGGTCGACGGCGGGGAAACGGTAGGTAAAGCCTACTAAGGCTTTTTGGGGCGGCCTGCTGGCGGCAACTCTTCATACAGAAGAACTGTTGGTCTAGCTCCCGTAGTAGGAGCTTGCCCAGTAGGTACGATAACAGACTTTCACCCAGCAGGCACTGGGATCGAGGCCGACGACGATTTGGAGGTGCCCTAGGTAACGAGCGCGGCCGTTTTTCGGTCGTTCGATCGCTAGATCGTACGACCAGGAACAGCCGCGCCGATCGTTAGTGGCCGCTGCGCAATGACGACACGTATAAATTGAGAAGTGGTCTAAAAAAAATTCCCATCGTGGATCGCCGATAGGGGTCGAACTCAGGTCTGTGTCTCAGCAGTTTGTGGGGGGGTGCCAGGGCCCACGGACTGCCTTGCATTGCTGGCAAGATATGAAGGGGGGGCAGCAACTGTGAAAAAGGGCGCAGCCCCGTTCACCTAGCTGCATCTGGATTCGAACTTGACTTTGTGTTTCAACAGTTCATGGGTGCCCAATGGCACCATGAACTGCCCTGCCTCATTGGCAGGCCAAGCTGCAGCAAGTGAAAACCCCTTTTCATTAGGATTCGAACTCAGGTTTGTATTTCAGCAGTTCGTGGGTATACAACGAATTTGAAGTGGCCATTGGCTTATGCCAATGAAAAAAGAGAAAAAAAGAAGAAAAAAATACAGGGCACTACAGCATTAGTGTGCGTATGAGGTGTGAGGCAGTTGATGCCTCACGGGAGATTTGCCCGGCCTCGTTGGCAAGGCACCAGGGGAAAAAAAAAAGAAAAAAAAAAAAAAGAAAATGGGTTCAAAGCTTCGAAGGGGGAGAAGTTACTTTTCTTGTTTTTTTTGGTTTGCACCAGCATTTTTTTGGTGGTCAAAAAGTGATTTCTTCTGACTTTGAATTTTTTTTTGTGGATCCGTGGGCACCTAACCCACGCGCTTGATTTTTTAAAGATTTTTTTATTTAGCGAATTTTTAATAAAAAATCTTTAAAATTGGGGTACTTTTTGGCACCCCCACCTAATTGTCATGGGGTTTGAACTTGGGCCTGCCTTTTAGCAGGGGGGGTGGCTCAACGGGCATTGCTGAGCACACCCCGCCAGCAAAGCAGGGCTGAGGGAAAACGAGGTATTTTTCTTTAATTTATTTTTCTTCTATAGCAATGAAGGGTAAGGGGAGAACAAAGAGTTGGAAGGAAGGAAAAAGTCGCGAATCTGTTCGCGACATCGGACAAGATGCAGCAGAAGAAGCATCTAGGCCCTGAAGTGACAGCAGGCTGCTGAACTTCAACAGTCTGCTTGAACTGGCTTGGCTAGAGGTGACGGCCCGGGGGGTTCCCTAAGCTGGGAACTTGATGTTGTTCCTGGTTGAACATCAAGGATCTCAACCCTTGATCATGATTTTGATCCGGGGCTGAGGTCAACCCGATTTTCGGCTGGGGGCAACAGGTGGCCTTCAGCTCTTGCCCAGCTATAAAACCTGGGCTGACCAGCAGCAACCTCATTCATTTGAGGTGCTGCCCACACTCTACTTGAGTGCTGGCCGGTTGGTGAGAGGAGCTGCTGGAGCTGTTGAGTGAGGAGGGACTGCTGGCTGGAGGAGGAAGCAGTAATGGAGGTCTGCAGTAGAGGTTGAGAGAGGAGGCTGCCATAGCCACCATCTTAGCAAGGGTGGAGGTGTTGCTGGCCATAGTCGCAGCCATAGCGACGGCCGTTGGGGAGGCACTGCTGCTTTTTGCGGCAACTGCGGCATCGACACAGGAGTGCTGCTGAACTTTTGCGGCATCGACGGTGTTTTTTTTTTGGCAGCGACGTGGAAGTGCTGCCGAACTTATGAGGCGTCGACGGTGTTTTTTTGGCAGCGACGTGGAAGTGTTGCCGAACTTTTCCGGCAGCGGCGATGCGTTTGGGGCAGCGACGTGGAAGTGTTGCTGAACTTCTGCGGCAGCGACAATGCGTTTTGGGCAGCGACGTGGAAGTGCTGCCGAACTTTTGCAGCAGTGGCAATGTGTTTTGGGTGGTGGCACGGAAATGCTGCCCATTTTTTGCGGCGACGGCAGTGCGTTCTAGGTGGTGGCGCGGAAGCTCTGCCCATTTTGCACGGTGGCAGCAGTGTATTTTGAGTGGTGGCGCGAAAAGCGCTGGCCAATTTTTGCGGCGGCAAGGTATTTGACACAGGGGAAGTGTCGTCGAAGTGGCGGCGTGTTTTTTTTAGTTAGGGTTGGCGTTATGCTGTCCGCATAATGACGCGGCAACGCGTTGATGCTGGTGATGGTGTCGCGGTGACGCAGCGGTGATGGTGGGCTATTTTCTCATGATCCGACAATAGTATGGGCGCTGGTGCACATTTGGGATTGTATGGCAGTGGTGTGTGGGCCGACGGCATGAAGAAAGTGCAGAGTGAGTGCACACGACAGTGATTATTGGGCTTGCAGCACATGTGGTTTTTAGCCAGGGCTACCTTTATGTTTTTTTTGCGGCGTGCAGTGCAAGCGGTTTTGAGTTCTAAACCACCTAGTATGGTGGTGATGGTGTGGGACTGCCTTGGAACCATCAGGGTCTATTTTGGGACTAGGTGAGACTAATTGTTGTGATAGGGACCGGCATGTTGGTGTGACTATTGCGAGCGGACAGGGTGATTGGAGGCGGTGTGGACTTGCGATTGGTTGGGGGGACGGATTTTTAGTGAAGTGCATTGGGATTGTCTGGAATATTGGGACCACGTGGAAACTCGATTCTAAGAACACCCTCCTGAAGGGTTATCTCGCTTCAGTTTTTTTTTGTGGTCCAACCTTTGCTAATTCGGACACTTGGTGGAAAACGCAGACTGTGGCTCGGGAGAAAGGCCACAACCTGTGGAGTTGTGAGCCGCATGTTTTTCTACGACGATTATTTTTCTTATGATTGAAATATTACCCGACTTTCTTGAGTGAGCCGGACCAAGCTTCACTTACGGTCAGTTAAATGACTCATATTTCCCTTAACCCCTGCATGAACCCATACTTTGTTTGACCCTGTTGTTTTGAATGTTCGAAAGAAAAGGTAGAGGAAAGTTGTGCGAGTCATGCATGTGAATGGAAAGGTCTGACCTGAGTATGGGATTGTACTGTTTTCTTTTGAACGTGTTTTTTTTGCGTGCTGTGCAGGTAGGTAGAAGGATGCTTGTAAAGGAGTTTATATGCCTGTTTGGGAAAGGGAAAAAAATTGTCTTCTTTTTATTCCTCACCTACCTGCACGTCAAGAAAGTTGCATTTGTTCTGAAAAATGTTAATTCAGTATGCACCGTAAAATGAATTTGATTGAAAGAAAGAAGATGAGGTCAAACAGACTTGGTGTTTTTCCCGATGGATTTACCCTTTCTATCCCGAATGACCTCATTTGCCTGTACCTGTCCAAATGATTCTTATTCTCTATCTCCTTCTAATTCTTTTCGTCCAAGTTACCTTGAACTTAGGAAAAAAAAGAACAAATGAAATTTACTTGGGATGGATATGTTATCCCTCTAGGAAGAATCTGGGGCGGGGGTTCGTTGCTTTAGGAGTCGGCTCTGTTATCGACCCAGAGTGGACCGTTCTACGGGGGGGGTACTTTACCGATTCAGTGGAAATGGCCCGACTTCTGAAATCCGAGTCTTGTGCTCGGACGAGGAGGAGTATCCCAAACCACTTCCTAGAGGGAGAGGCATGCAAACTTCAAGCAATGCCTATTATCAAGAATTATCCGCAAAGCAGTCTGTCATCCAAAAAGATTAGAAAGTATGGAGATTGGTGTGAGCACGTCTGGTCTTAAGTCAGCGGTAGGTTGAATGGATGACTTTGGCAATGCGTCTCATCAAGTCAAAACTAAAGAAGACCGACGACCTTGTCGGTTTTCATCGTGGTTATTGTCGAAGCCAACTCCTCGTTGGCGGATGATGATTGTTTTGTGGTGTTCGACCTAAGATGGTTGGATTGTTTTTTTTTTATCTTGTGTTATTGGATGTATGAGATGATGATTTGAATTCTTTCAATTACCTTTTTGGATATATGTTCCTATCGTCTACGGTCGATTCCAATTGATGTAAGTATATGTGTGGTTGTTATAATTTTCTTTTGACGGTATATCTAAGGGTCTAGGGTTGAGTTGTGGGTTTCACTCTCGGTTGAGACCGTCCTAGTCGACCGACGTTCGCTTCGTACTCAGGAGATCAGCGCCCTAAGGAACGGACAACGCTCGGGTCCACTTGGCGTTAACCAAGCGTATCTATACTACAGCGAACGAGCAAACGCCCTCAGTTGGCTTACCTCTGCAATTGCGTCTAAAAGCCTTCGCAAGTGGGTTAGTAGCTCAGTAGGGATACGCCCTTTAGGGTGGTGACAGCCCCTTAGGGAAGGAAAGTTCATGCCCCGCAGGAACCTATCCCGTCGTAGGGGACCGTGGGATGTACAGTTGGTGCACCCGGCCAGAGCGGCGACGGAACGACCCTACCGCAACTGTCTCGACGGTTCGCGGGGTTGTTAAGTGTCGTTCCCAAGTTGTCTCAAGGTTTTGCTTTCGTTTTACTCCTGCGTGACATGGCTAGGAGGGCTCCCGCGCTTTGCAAAAAGGTGGGAGCCGATGCGCTCGACAACGAAACTGATCACATGCCCGAGAGCACAAATCGCTAGTGGCGTCGTAACCGCAATGCGTGAGGATATACACCTCCGCCTCTCTCAACAATTTGGCGCGATACGAATCGACCACACCACTAAAATACCTCATATCGCGATGGGCAGGGCATAAAAGGAAAGTTGCGGCGTGTGTCGGCTCCAACATCATCTGACACCGCTCCTGCACCTTTTGGAAGATGTGCTGACCCACGACAGTCGGCAGAACGCAGAGCTCCCTCGCCATGTCAATCTGCAGCTGCTGTGTCCAAGGCACAATGAGTGATATGTGCATACCACCACGATCCAACCACCACAGCAGATCGTAAACAGGATCCATGATGCAGACTAGCGTCTCGATCAAGTCCCACCATCTCCCATGTGTCACCGGCCACCTCATCCATCTCGCGAGCCTCTCAACGCGTGCGTCCCAAGGGATAAGACTCCACTCCGCCGTGTCGACAGTCCTCTCCAAAGCTTGCCTCACAGCGATAAGACGCTCCAACATAGCAAAGGCCGATGCGAAACATGTCTCGCACGGGTAAATGAGGCCCAAGTGTTTGCTCTCCAACCTGAAAAGGTGGAGATCGCCACCATGCATTTTAATGAACCGCACGACCGCTCTAGCCTACAGTATAGTGTCGTTGATCCATGTGCTCGTTATGCCTATGTCTGATAATAACTTGTTGCAGACATGGACCACACATGGGATCCAAGTGATGCGTCTGTATTGTGGCCTCATCTTGGGAGGCCAACGCGTTCGCACCGGCGGTATACGCAGCCGCCGATTCCGTGCAAATAGCATTGACCCGTTTCGGGCCAAAGCGCTCGAAAACATCCACCCACCGCTCCAAAACACTAGGCCCGTCATCACGCGAACCCTCTCTGTTCATCGTCCTGATCATCAGCATGCCGCATGATGCTGCGGCGAGGAAGTTGACAATTGGCCCGTGATAGCGAGACTTCTTGCGCCATTTGACAAAATCGTGACGCCCGTGACACGGCTCCCTGACGTCTCTGAAATCCACAGCCACATCATCAGCAGTCTGACGCACATACCCGATCGCAGCGATCTCATTGTGTGAAGGCCATAAAACCTTGATAGGCCTTGGTAAGTCTGTGAAGTGTCTCTTGTACTCCTTCCTAGCATTGTTGCGGAAGACGTTGAAGGCTATTTGCTGGTTGTACGAATCGGATAATTTTTTTCTCGTGGTCCACGAGCCACTGGGAGGCGAAGACGTACTTGATCGCAGGCTGTCTCATCTTCTTTCGCGGGGCCGCATTCCCCCCTCCCTCTCTCTCCTTCCTCTTCCCTGAACTCTCACCCACCACAGCGTTCCCCAACCGCTGCGTATAAGGCTCCTCAACCTCTTGCTGCAGCGCATCGCCTTCGGCATCGATCATGTCATCCACCTCCTGCCCTCCATCTTCCTCTACAACCATACCCGACTTGTCGTCCCCTCCCGCACCACCATCCACAGCCACAGCTGGTGCACCACCTTGGAGCTCCTCGTAATGCTGCAACCGCTCCAACTGCTTGTTCACCATCTTGTAGGAAGTGTTGAAATGGATATCCACGAGTGCCTCGTTTGTGACCTGCGGACACCCTTTCCCCTGTTTGAAGTGCCTTGCCCCAACAAATTGTGTCCCTTGGAATTCATGACTGCAAAAGACGCACTTGAACATCTTCGTGCCACGGTTCCCGAGGTCTTGGCCGACGTGAATGTATTTGAAGACGGTGCATTTCCTCCTCACCTTGTGTTGTGCGAGCTCGTCGGCCTCCTCGAACGACCGCGCCTGGCCCCTCCCCATGGTTGGCCGCCCTGACTGACCACCGCCCCCACCCCTGGGCCACCACCGCGACCAACCCTGAACCCCCCACGAAGGCCTCGCGACGCCTCGCCCGGCAGGTCCCCCACACTGATACCCCCGCCCCCTTTCCCTACCCCGAACGGTACGTCGGAACCGACAATCCAGCGCCGCCAGCCCAGTAGGACGCCGCGTTCAGGCCGAGGACATGCCGTTCGAAAACAGTGAACGACATTGAAAAAAATTGAACGAGGCATTCAACTTTTAGTGCCTCCTCGTGCCGCGCTGTCCTGCCACTTCCCGCCGCCGCTTGTTCGTCGACGCCACGATGCTCGGTGTTGCCTCCTGCCGTCGCCACCGCTCCGCTGCAACAGTCATGCCTCTTCTCTCTCTCTCTCTCTCTCTCTCTCTCTCTCTCTCTCTCTCTCTCTCTCTC